TATATATATTGTATACATTTATATTGTATATATAGTATATATAGTATATATATGTATATATGTACATATTGATATATAAATGTATATATGTATATATATAATAAAAATATATGTATTATATATACATGTGAATATATATGAATATATTTATTTCATATATATATATATGTATATATATACATATCTATATATCTATTTATCTATATCTATATATCTTCCTTCTGAGACGCTATGTTTATTACATATAGAAATGCACAATTTCAGCACCTTTTCAGCTGAGACACCAGTTGTGCAGTTTTTGCTGCGGTGTATCTCATATGCCACTCCTTTCCATCTTCCAGATACCATGCATGGTTCTCTAGTTGCCCTGCCAGCAGCTAACATTGTAGGTTTCAATCAAGGTAAGTCTTCCGATGAACTGCACCTCGCACGACATTTTGGGGTGCTGGGGTTTAGCACGCACTTGACGCTCTTGTGGGTTTTAGGTTGACTGTGTCGGGTTGTAACGAGCTTATATGATCTGGTAGTATGTTAGCATTGTGTGCGTACATGTATATACGGATACGGTAGCACTGTGTGTGTAAATGTATATAGGGACATGGCATGAGTGTGAACGTACCATGTCTACACTGAACCGTGTGGCTGTGTGTGCTTGGCGTTCACACAGTTGGGCATACAGCTATCGTATATCATTGAGGTGAAAGCACCCGCGCACAACCTAACATCCCTTGCATCACATCCTCACATTACCATTACTTGCATTACACCACAACACTTGCACGCTTCCCGATTAAAAGGCCTATTTTTAGTCTGTTCACACCCCACCCCACACCCCCAACCCAAACCCAACCCCAACCCAAACTCAAACTCAAACACAACCCAGGCACACGAGTGTTTTCTGATGGTGTTGATCTCAATCGCATCATGCCTGGTGGTAGGGCGGGGCGGGGTAATCTGTACGCCAAGTCGCTGTTCCAGAAGGTGTTGAGCACAGGCATAGACTACTGCGTGGACCTGCACACAGCTTCCACGGGCCGTGTCAATTCGCTGTAAGTTCTGTTTCTGTTCTATTTATATTGTCTGTGTTTTATTTATATCGTATGTGTTCTATTTATATCGGATGTGTTTTATTTATATCGCCTGTGTTTTATTTATATCGGATGTGTTTTATTTATATCGTATGTGTTCTATTCATATCGTCTGTGTGTTGTATTCTTATCGTCTGTGTCTCATTATCACGATGGATACATTAGGTATATAGAGATTATGTTCGCGTAAATAGGTTCTATTTGGCCCAACCCGATTCATGCACAGTGTTTGTGTACAATGGTGCATGGTGGCTATATACACACCCTCTCACCTGGCTATATACACACCCTCTCACCTGGCTACATACACACGCTCTCACCTGGCTATATACACACGCTCTCACCTGGCTATATACACACGCTCTCACCTGGCTATATACACACCCTCTCACCTGGCTATATACACACCCTCTCACACACTCCCTGTCGCTGTGCGCCTGCAGATACGTACGAGCCGATATGAAGAACCCCGTCACCGCCAAAATGGCTATGCTACAGAACACGCAGTTCACGCTGCATGCCGTGGCTGCCTTTGACGGACGCGCAGACACACTGCGCAATGCCATGATGGCCATCGACGTACCTACCGTTACCTTGGAGATAGGCGATCCCTCGGTGTTCAATCGCGCGCTTATCCGCGAGGCTCTGCCGGGTATCTTCAATCTAATGGTAAATAGGGACTTTGAGTAACTGATGCGTGCGTGCGTGCGTGCGTGCGTGTGAGAGTGCGCATATATATATATATATATATATATACATATATATATATAGTATATATATACTATAATATATATATATATATATATGTAAATATATATGTATGATGTATATATGATATATATAATATTTATGATATATATGATATATATATATATATATAGGTGTGTGTATATGTATCTCGTCAGTTGATCCTCGTTTCCTTCTACCCAGTACCACGTGGAGGTCTATGCATGAGCCACTAATCACCCATGCCTTCTTTCCTTTCCTTTCCTTTCCTTTCTGTAGGACCATTTGAGTATGTTTGGCGAGGGCAGCCATGCCATGACCACTGTGGATGACGATGAGAACAAGCTGCCCAACGAAGCGCGTCTGTGTGTCAAGTCGGTTTGGATGTGGACTGATCACGGTGGTATTCTCAAAGTGGTTGCAGGTATGTAGGAACGAACACGCGTGTGTCCATGTGCATGTGTGCTTGTACATACTAATACTTGTATACGTATACTCTGTTTGTACTTGTATATCTTTTGTACGTGTACTGGTTGGTTGTACTTGTATATCTGTTGTGCGTGTATTGGTGGGTTGTTTGTTTATGTGTGTAGTGGCTTATGACTCATTTTGCGTGCGCTGATGATCCCTAGGCTAGAGTGTGGATGATATCAGCAGTCGCTCTACGCATGTTTCACAGTAATGCAGCCTTGAGTCAGAGTAGCCTTGCACATTGTAGTTTTCGGCACAATATCCCTCGATATTTTGGGCTTGTTTGTCCCATTCCTGAGACCTTAAATTTTGTTGTTCTTTTGTCCTAAACCTCATTATATTGGGCTTGTTTGTCCTAAACCTCATTAAATTAGGCTTGCTTATCCTAAACCTCATTATACTGGGATTGTTTGTCCTAAACCTCATTATAATAGGCTTGTTTGTCCTAAACCTCATTATATTGGGCTTGCTTATTCTATCCCTGCGACTACAGAGATTGGTGAGAAGGTGCACAAGGGTCAACGGGTGGCCTACATTGTGGATATCTTCGGAGTGCTCGTTTGCAACTACTACGCTCCCGTGTCAGGATATGTCATCGGCAAGAGCGTCAACCCCGTAGTGCAAGCAGGTACGCACAACCGTCATGCATAACGTAATGGTGTCACTGCTTGTATTATGTCTTCTGTGGTTCAAACGGATCAGAATGTATTCACGTATATATATAGATGTCAGCATA